TCTATATTGTAAGGCAGATTTAGCAGTAAACATAGTTTTATAGTGATTGGCAGATTTAGCAGTAAACACAGTTCTATATTGGTTGGCAGATTTAGCAGTAAACATAGTTTTATAGTGATTTGCAGATTTAGCAGTAAACACAGTTCTATATTGGTTGGCAGATTTAGCAGTAAACATAGTTTTATAGTGATTGGCAGATTTAGCAGTAAACACAGTTCTATATTGTAAGGCAGATTTAGCAGTAAACATAGTTTTATAGTGATTGGCAGATTTAGCAGTAAACACAGTTCTATATTGTTAGGCAGATTTAGCAGTAAAACCGTTCTATAATACAGAAACTAGAAGAAGCAGTTGTAATCGGCTGATACCATGAACTGATGATGATAGAGCCACGCAGCTTCCTAAGTAGGAGCACTGTATATTTGTCGGGGCACGTACAGTTGGCTTCTTTCTGTTGTCACTATATCAATCACCCATTATCCTTTGTTGTTTTTGTTAATCCCTATCAAGTATACACTCCTTCTGTTTTGGGTAATCCTTATTAGATGTATTTAACCCTGTATTGTGCTGTATTGCTTCACTCTTGCTTGACAATGGTATGAGGAGCTATACCAACGCGTCGCATCACAATAAATAAAGAAGTACAAAATATATTTGATAAAAGATAATCTAGTCTTCACCTTATATTGATTTGCGGATTTAGCGGATTATCATGTGTGTACCTATCTTCATCTATGCAACATGCAGATGAGGCTCTGGCAGCCAATCAGGGGTATATTTGTCCCGTGTAGTGCTGTCATGACGACAGAAACTTGTTGTAACGAACATTTCCAATTGTCAGTGACACACATCTCATGCATAGATAAGAGAAAGTTACCACGTATTGATATTTTATTTTTTCAATGGGAATTTTGAGAGAATTATTATCACAAAAGGCCTTGTGAGTGAGTGCTCGGCGAGTTGAGACAGGGTTGCGATGAACTTCTTGTGATCATTATGAATCATTGCCCACTTGTGATCATGACACTTGGGACTTTTATGTGAGGTATAGGGAAGACTATTGTGGAATATCCATTACAGAATGTGGACTTTGTTCAGTCACCACACAAGAGGGGGGCCAGCATTGCAATTCCTCATTACTTGCTCTCCCGAGAAGCAGAAAACAAATCTGTACTGCAGCACTTTCGGGAGACCGATCCATTTAATTACCCGACTCTGTATCAACAATGTAATACTGCACAGATGGACAAGCCTTGGTTGTGGCTGCATCCAGACCAACTTTTGGAGGGGGAGCGGGAGACATAATTATAATCAATACAAGACAAGTGTAACCGTTTGATTGTGTCGGAATGGGGCCAAGACCACTCGCATTAGCATTGCTGGAGATGCAGGAGCAATTAGGTTTGGGTTATGAACTTTTATTCCATCCAAATGGTCAATGGATATGGGAATGTTGACGATCCATGGAGATTGGAGTTTCTGTGCTTGGCGAATATTAGTGTATTTACATGACTTGTCATCCATTGATGTTCACGTCTGGTAGCCAATACCCAGTTGATCAAAACTCTGGAATTGTTGGCAAGAGGCGCCTGATATATTCGACTGATGTGACCTGTGAACCAGCAACTCCAAGATGCTCCAGATAGGAAACAAAGGCACCATTCTGCTGCCACATAAAATTCTTTGTCCTTGGTCTGGGTAATCGTTTTTGGCAAAATCAGCCATGATTCATCACTCTGATCTTAACCTTTCCCCATAAAATAGCTACTGCCCCCAAAGACTGTCTTTATCCCCAGTCGTGGGGAAGGCATTGTGAACTGCCCAAGTCAGGGGGGATTTTGTTGTTTTTAGTGATCAATTGATGGCCCATATGTGCAAGAGAAATTGTATTATTCTTTGAAGTGCCTGGGTCTGTGTTTGGTGTTGGTGGTAGTGCTTTGAGCACAAAGGATGAGCCATTATCCAAAATGGATGCAACAAAACATGTTTTCGAAAACATTCAAGTTGACAAAGCAAAACCTAAGTGGCAACATGTGCCATTGAATGGAACATTTGAGTAACTGATTTTAGACCCAAGACTTTTTATCATTTTTTAACTCACATTTATTGATGTTACTGCTGGTAAATATTTTATGGGTTATTTAAAAAAATTTCTTTTCCCATTTCATCAAACTGTACTGTTATCCTGAAAGTCAACTTACATGATTTTGTTTTAATCTGTATGTTCTTTATTCAGGGCAAATGAGACCTGTTTTAATCATCATTCAAAAATTGGAAAGTTGCTATGTTTGGACCTGATTCTGTCCATTGTTGATCGATGCTTTCACCCACTGGCTTGTCTCTAAACATGGTCGCCAATATCTTCTGCGTTTGCTTATCTCCATGTGTACTTTTCACAAGTATGTATATAATTGTAGTCTGGGTTGGTGGCCTAGTGGATAGAGTGGTCACTCCCATGTCCAAGGCCTGGGTTCCATTCCCCAAAGCTGTGCAATATGTGAAGTCCATTCTGGTGTCGTCTTCCATGACAGCAGGAATGTTGCGATGAACGCATTGATACCAAAATAACTCCCTCCCACCCTCACCATTGTCATGAGATTTACGCCCACTTCATTTTGCAACCCTCTTTAGATGATGAGTCTCTTGCAAATACACTACAGCGTGCTCCTGTTAATGTAACAAAACCAAGAATATTTGCCAAATAATGATACCCAGGGCGACGAGTTGACGACAGTTGTAGAAATCTAATGTCTAAACCTGGCCTTCTTTTCTTGTCACTTACTTTCATCAAGTTTACCCCCACTAGAACGAAAGCCCTCACTTATATTTACATAATAAGGGAATTCACTTTAGGGTCAGATTTTAATTTAAGTAACACCACAACAAGTGTTGAAGAGGCTCATGGGAAGTCTCCAAGCCATCGTCTGATTGGATGGGTTTTTGATAATGCTTGGTTCACAATAACCAACACAACTAGTATCTGATACTTTTTTTGCAATTCAGAACCAGTTTTTCGGGGGGAAAGCTTGATATGTTTTTGATGGTGTGAGTGGGATCCTCCGCCATTACAAAATAAGTGTTGCAACGAAGTGATTTGGTTGCGTTATGACCTTTTAATATGTCACCATGTCCCGTGAGAGTTTTTTAAATTGTTTTAAGATTGAGGAATCATAATGGTTGGCTGTGTATTTAAACCTGGAACAAATAGCCTGTCATTACAGTGTACCATATCAATGCCGTCAACTAGTCTGTATCCTGCTAGTTCTTACCAGGGTCTGATGTAAAGCCTTTGCTGCTTAGCTTGGTGAACACACTTGATTATGATACTCATTTTATGTGGGAAGAGGTATGATCTTTAAAGCTGGCAATTGTGGATTCATTGTGTTTAAGACCAAATGGTAATAACGTTCCGGAGTAGGTGATACAGAGGCGTATCAGTATGTCACCACAACGGTTCTCATGGCAGCATTTCTGTGCAGGTGATATAGAGGCGTATCAGTATGTTACCACAACGGTTCTCATGGCAGCATTTCTGCGCAGGTGATATAGAGGCGTATCAGTATGTTACCACAACGGTTCTCATGGCAGCATTTCTGTGCAGGTGATATAGAGGCGTATCAGTAAGTTACCACAACGGTTCTCATGGCAGCATTTCTGCGCAGGTGATATAGAGGCGTATCAGTATGTTACCACAACGGTTCTCATGGCAGCATTTCTGTGCAGGTGATATAGAGGCGTATCAGTATGTTACCACAACGGTTCTCATGGCAGCATTTTTGTGCAGGTGATATAGAGGCGTATCAGTATGTTACCACAACGGTTCTCATGGCAGCATTTCTGTGCAGGTGATATAGAGGCGTATCAGTATGTTACCACAACGGTTCTCATGGCAGCATTTCTGTGCAGGTGATATAGAGGCGTATCAGTATGTCACCACAACGGTTCTCATGGCAGCATTTCTGTGCAGGTGATATAGAGGCGTATCAGTATGTTACCACAACGGTTCTCATGGCAGCATTTCTGTGCAGGTGATATAGAGGCGTATCAGTATGTCACCACAACGGTTCTCATGGCAGCATTTCTGTGCAGGTGATATAGAGGCATATCAGTTTGTCACCACAACGGTTCTCATGGCAGCATTTCTGTGCAGGTGATATAGAGGCGTATCTGTATGTTACCACAACGGTTCTCATGGCAGCATTTCTGTGCAGGTGATATAGAGGCGTATCAGTATGTTACCACAACGGTTCTCATGGCAGCATTTCTGTGCAGGTGATATAGAGGCGTATCAGTATGTCACCACAACGGTTCTCATGGCAGGGGGGTAGGGGGGATGTGTGTTGGTTGGTACGGGTGTCCCACATGTCTAAGGAACTGCAAATCACTCATTTTGACGGTGAGGATAAATCTTTAATTTAATGATATCTAGAAAATGCCACCATTCCCCACAGACCGCCTCCCTGATCACTTGGTAGAGCATGAGCATCCAACCAGAGAGCGGAAGGTCCGGGGTTTGATCCCCGGCCCTGTCATACCAGAAGACATTAAAAGATGGTACTTGTGACCCTGCCTGACGCTCTGCATTAAGGGGCTAAAACTATAAATGGGCATCCGTTCGGACTAGTACAAGCAGCCACACACACAAGTGCATGCACGTCGCAATATAAGGGCAATAATCTTGGACGCGACGTTAAACCCCGTTTCACCTCATCTCCACTCAAAGTAGACTTGCTTGACAACGGTATAAGGAGCTATACCAAAACGTCGCCTTTACAGTATTAAAGAAGTTGTAGCCCATAAATTGTGTCTACTTTGTCATCCGTACTTCTATGTAATGCCTATCGAACAATTCACCTCTCACTCACTCACTCACACTCACTCACTCACTCACTCACTCACTCACTCACTCACTCACTCAGACTTTCCAATTCTTCCATCTTCCCTTCATGCAATTTGTTTATATTTTGCTGTATTTTGATAATGTTTTCTTGTTATTGCAGAAGCTGTAGCCGGAGTCCCCCACGGTGAGTACCAACATGTAGTTCCCGACTAATATTGTACGTATATTAGATGGCATTGATTTGCTCGTATTTACAGGCATTATTGCACAGGGTCGTGTCCATCAGACCATTGATGAACTGCTGTATCAGCATCATTGCAGGACAAATGAGCTATTAATACCACTTTAATCACGCTAATGTCGATGTTTTAATGAACCTGGCAAGGTCGATCTAGTGCATTGTGGGACATATTGCCTTTTCATTTGTGAAGAATGATACATTTGTAAGTAAGACTGATTTCACAAATGAGGGTCCCCATAGTAACTTCATTCTCTGCCTTTATTCATCATACAAGTATCACATCATTAAGGATGGCAGGGTAGTATCACATCATTAGGGATGGCAGGGTAGCCTGGTGGTTAAAGTGTTTGCTCGTCATGCTGAAGCCCCGGGTTTGATTTTCCACATGGTACAAAGTGTTAAGCCCATTTCTGGTGTCCCTGCCATGATATTGAAATTCATTAGTAAAAGTAAATTTTTGGGACAAGAATGCAGCCTTATTTTGTCTCTTGCAACTAGGTTTTCATGTTGACATGCACCTGGTACAACCTAAATATAGTTCCTAGGTAGCAAGGTGGTTGAAGCCTTCGCTCGTCATGCAGAAGGCCCAGGTAATTTTCCCCATATGGGAAGACCTTTACTGGTGTCCTCACTATGATATTGTTGGAATATTGCTTAAAGAAGCGTAAAGAAGCGTAAAACAGTACTCACTCACTCATTCACAAAGCCATATCACTGCTTCAAGTCACAAGCCTTCACTGTAACAGAGACATACAACATTTCTGTTAACACTGTAGGCTCACTGATGTTAAAACATCCGCTGTTTGTTGGTGGAAAATAAAAGAGACTTGTTATCCAGATATAATCTGGATATCTAATCATTTTGCTTATCCAGCCATGTTCTTTTTATCCAGCCATTATTTTTGTGAACATTGCTGAATATCCAGACATATTCTTGTTATCCAGACATATTCTTGTTATCCAGCCATATTGTCGTTACCTGTGTGTATTGAAAGGATCCACTGCGACTGTGTGATACGGACTCATCTGTAGATCGGCATATTGTTGTTGGGGGCCTTCACTTCCTGCTCCAGTTTGTTTGTGTCACATGCTCCCCTTGACCTTCAATCAAGGGCCGTAATATATTTGGCTTCTCGAACAATCCTAATCAGCTTCTGAGACAGGTGGCGGACTGTGCAGTAATGTTTGATTTTGTCATCAGGTCTTGACTCAGTCACACTTAATTTGTATCTGAACACTCCGGCCTGGAGCAGATGGGAAAGTCGGCCATTTTAAAATTAGAGGGATGGAAAACCATTTTGGTTCATCTCCGGAGGGAAGAAAAGATAATTGGACTTCTCACTACTTGGATTATGTTCGATCATTCTGTGAGAGGAGACACTCTTGCTTACATCGTCTAGACCTGACTTGTTTTCTTTATGTCTAATTTACAAGACTTGCACATTTCAACCGCCCGAAGCATAAATGAGTTCAGCATCAGGATAGGTTCAGGAAGTGTTTCTTATACAGAACTAACTTGTGGATTGATATAGAGACAGTTGGTCCAATTTTAGACTTTTGGAGCATGAACAAATCCAGTGAATAAATATCTGTAGTGTATTTAACAGAATTACGAAGTTAACTTTGATAGTATTCCAGCTCAAAGATGAGAGCTAGTTGTAGGCAAATATGACCTGATTTCAGATTTGGGTGCCATTGATGATGAGGAATATAAAGGCTGTTTGTGTTGGGGTTTTTTCACCTTTGATTCATATCAATGCTTTTGCTTAATTTGCTTTTGAAAAGGTTTATTAATGTAGGAATGCTATCATCAAGGCATTTAGAAAATAATGTATGAGACAAGTATATGGTGGCTGTCACTATAGCCGTATAAAATACAACATCTGAAATTGCATTCAAATCCGATAGAATCTTGTGTGCTTAACTGGATACATTTTTTTTAGTAAGAATTCTGAACTTGACTCATTCTTTTGGAAAATAGTATTTATATTTGTAAGAATGACTGAACTGGCAGTGTTTGTGAAAAATATGTTATTGTTTGTAAAAATTACTAAACTGGCACATTTTTTAGTATTAATTTTTGTAAGAATCTCTCATGGCCTCATGTGCTTGTGGATACCGCTGACAACTCCCACTACTGCCTTGTGTAAGATATTTCGGTTGTGTGATGTCGATCATGAGAGGCCGAGTGCTGAGCTTCATGCTGGAAAATCGACTTGCTTGTAACTTCCAATGATTGATACCAAAGGTGGACCTAAATTTGCTGGAAATGTTTTACATCACAGTACAATTACCTTTTTCATGCCTGCTTTTGAAGTTGCTCAGTCCAATTTCATACAATCAGCGATTTTTTTGAATTAACAAGAAATTCTCATTATGGACGAAAGAGTGGTTGATTATTCCTCTGTAGTTTGTGTGGGAGAAGAGAACAGGGTGTCTCAGCAGTAGGAACTATGTCATAAGTTCACAGGTGCCTAGGTCCCTTCCAAAACGTCGACATTTCTGAGTGGGAAGAGTGATTTGGGTTAAAAGCATCTTTGAACAGTATATCAGTTCTGTCATGGTCATGGGGACATGTAGGAGGAAAGTTGGAAGTGGTTCAGGTCTTGAAACCAATGGGTATGGTACTGACAAACCAAGAATCATAATCGGGGTGAGTTTGGGATTTGAACCCTTGATCATAGGATCCTGACACACAAAAGGGACACAACTCTGCACAGTGAATTTAGGTGCCTTACTTGACTGGACCACTTGTGTCCTCATCAAATTTCTGAAAGTCTAATTGGTGCTTTAACTGTTCTTGTCAACTGTCTAACTGGTTTTGTCAACATCTTAAAGCATTTTACGATACTGTGGCTGTCACTAAAGGTTTAGGTGTGGCTGGTTTCAGTGGCGTAGAGATATTCACATTTGTAACTTGGTCACATGTTTGATTTCCTCAACATGTTAAGTAGGTAGGGGGAAAAGGAAGAAGATGGTGGAGTAATAGGGGATTCGTCATGATTCATAGCATTTTGACATTTCTGAGATAAATTTTCATCAGGTTTTAGTTATGTTATTTCAAATCATTTGTTTATATTGACAACGACAGTTAAGCAGTTTTTATTACTTTTTACTTATTTCTGGTTCGGCAGAATAAAGGAATCGATGTTCATGATATTAATCACTGGATTGTCTGGTCCAGACTTGATTATTTACAGACCGCCATCATATAGCTGGAATTTTGCTGAGTGCGGCATTAAACAACAAATCAACCAACCAACTTATCTTTTTATTTTTTTAATAATTCAAGTTTTGGGAGTTTCAGAAAAAGTAATCAAAAGTGATAAAGTTTTAGTTCTGAAGTATTCCTGCCAGTCCCACCTGTGAGGCAAGTCTGCTGAGTAGGAGGGTATGTTGTTTCACCAACATTATTTCATGAAGCAACGAGAAGCCACAAATGTGGTATTGCAAAATACAGGGGCAAATGTTGCAATACATGCGGATTAGTCAGATGCTAATGTCAATGATGTCATCAAGATACATTTTCTTCAAGGATATTGCCATAATGTTCATCTAACCTTTAACCTTTTCATTTCTACTGACAAGCATGATTGATATTGTTACCCGCACGGCCTTGATTGGTTTGTCATCAACAAAGGTGGTAGACTTTCCCCAAATAAACGGCATAAAATTTGCCAGTGAACTGCAAACATTTGCTTCAAGGTTATTTTGAGAATGTTTATAGAAAACATCGTTTGCTAATTAGCAAAAATTATTTCTCATGGTTTTATCACCATTTTTAACTACATTTAAACGTAACTATTGAAAATATTTAGAAAACCTGCCAAAATGATGGCTGGTGTATTGTGTAATTTGACACTAGATCCACCATCACTGCACCAGCGGTTTCTGTCAACGGATGTTTTAGCACTCATGTTTTAACACCTGCCATGCTGGTGGGACATAATGTTTACCTGAAACTGCCTGTTATAAGTTAAGAGCGTCAGACAGATTCGACGGGAAACTCATCCCCAAGCTGTGTGCTAAACGCGTCTGTTTTGATCCGTCTGGATGTGTTGTTGACATTCATGTAAGTGTTTTTAAGTGGTTCATGAGGCGTTTATGGAAACTTTCTTCACATATTAGTTGATGAGGTGTAAACATGGTGTACCAGTTTTGAGTTTATGAAAACTTGCATTACATAACTTTGGTACTGAGGTGAAGAGTGTGCAATGTATCACTGATGTATCGCATTTTGTTTGAAAGTTTGATGTGTATATATGCCTCATAAGCATCTTGATGGGGACACAAACACTGTAGCCACATTGGCAGAGGAGGCTCAGACTGTCATCACTTCCAAGCATGAACATTATTTCTATACTTGGTTACCGCTTGAGTCAAGCTGTAGTCTGAACTATTGTTTGGATGAACGGATTCAGTCTGCCGTGGAACGCAAAGTTGTAACCCACTCACTCACCCAGAACCCAATCACATGCTCCCCCCCCAGCAGATAAAAGTCTGTTTAGGATATATTTAGCATGCCTCCTCAACCCTACTGGGGTGTGAATTGTGCCCATCTCCTCCAGGGGACGTGTGACCGGCCCAGACAGTCCAGGGAGGTGCTTGCCCGCATTCCCCTCACTGTTGTACTCCAGGAACATCTCGTGTGGGGATGTCCGTGACTGCTGACCTTTGAGGGCGTTGTTACATTTGCTGGCCGAGCAAGGGGGGATGTGGGAAGGGGATGATTCTAGGTCATAAATCATTCATATGCCCACAGATCCCAGACAAGGGCCATGATATGCTTACAGATCTACAGACAGGGGCCATGATATGCTTACAAATCTACAGACAAGGGCCATGATATACTCACAGATCTATAGACAATGGCCATGATTTGCTCACAGATCTACAGACAAGGGTCATGATATGCTCACAAATCTACAGACAGGGGCCATGAT